AGCCCAAAATTATAAAACCAATGCTCAATTTTCGATAAAGAAAAGGGTATGTCACTTTGGGCTTTGTAGGACACAATGAATCAATCAAATTTATGCATGCCACATAACTTAATTTAACTTGTAGGAGTTGAAGAGATGAGCCATCCCCAGCCACTTAAAAATTTATAACCTTCTTCTTCTGCTAATAGTTGTGGCAATATTTTTAGTCACCATATATGGCTGGCTTGTGTGTAGGCCTGTGGCAATGACTATTAGTAAAGAATTAATGATTTTTGGCAACTTTTGGAAGACAGTTTGAACAATTATTTTTCAACATCTTTTTCTTTCCCTTTGATGATATTTAAAATTTTGGGTTATTAGTACTAGTAGTACAATAATGATAATAATTAAAAGTGTTAAGCAGCAGGACCCCATGCCACCGCCCCCGGCCACTCTTCACATGACGATTGTTGTTAAATGTTAGGGATTCAACTCTAAAATTCTAGCCACTGTTTGTACTTACACTAAATTAGTCCCTTCTATTTCAATATAATGTAAAGCTTAGTTCTCCAAAAGTTGAATCAAGTTATCAATTAAATGCAATTTTCTCATCGCCCCAGAACTCTTTTTACACTCTGAAACATGGAAACTAACCGTAGTAATACTTAAGTTAACGTTCTACTCATGCATGAACCATTCTCACCAATCAATAATACGCACTTACAATTAATTAGGAATTAAATATTAATGGATTCTTTCTCTTACTGAAGGAGGGAAGAGAAAACTGAAAAGCTCGATCCTATTGTATAACTCATGGTTTATAGATAGATCCCAAGGGATTTCCAATCATCAAAAGAAAGAGAAAAAAAGGAAAAGCTGAACGAATATCATCAAATCCATCCATGTCTTACCATTAAAGTCAATCAACTGCAAACTCAGATCCTGGCCACATTTTCCATGCATTCATAAGTATGATTCTTATACCCGCTCTCAAATCACAAAAGAAAACTAAATCCTTTCAAATTTCAGTTGTGTTATGATGATACTAGAATCTCTGCCAAAGCTCTGCCTGTTTAATGCAATAAATTAATCAAGTTCCTGAACATCCATTGAACTAATCTCAAATTTTGATGGCAATCTACTTCATTTGGGAAAATTCTGTCACAAACAAATAATAGATATCCTATCCAAAATACATATTTGTTTCCTATTCTAAAAATCTTATTTTATTTTATTCAATTATTTTAAATCCCTTAAGTTCTATCACAAACAAATAATAGATATCCTATCCAAAATACATATTTGTTTCCTATTCTAAAAATCCTATTTTATTTTATTCAATTATTTTAAATCTCTTAAGTTTGTTAATTTAACTAAACACCCTCAAAAAATAGTTTAAAATTTGATAAAAATACTCCCATCCGCCCACATTTTCCATATTTCAACCAAAAGGTGATCAGAATCTGATATAATGGTGCACTACCGGCTGGATCTGGCCGATAGTGTGATGATTTATCATTTTCTAGCCAGATCCACGGTGGATCTGGCCGAAAAAGGTTAGATTACGACCAGATATTTGGCCGTAGCTGGTAGTCAATGACGGCCAAAATATGGTCGTCGTTGACTATCAATGACAGCCATATCTTTGGCCGTCGTTGACGACCAAACATGGCCAAATCTGACCATAGATATGACCTTTTCCGGCCAGATCCACGGTAGATCTGGCCGGAAAAGGCCATCTTGATACACAACTGGCCAGATCCAGTTGGTCGTGTACCGATACGACGACTCCAGCCACCTTCCAGCAGTGGTGGCCGACTGCCAGTATTTAAGGGGTAGGTGGGGGTTTTTTTATAATTTTTAATGTTTTTATTATAGGAGTATTTAGTAAATTAACAAACTTAGGGAGTGTTTTTATAAATTTTTAAATCTTACCTCGTTATTCCCACCCAACTCTTATTTTTTCAAAAATACTAAAACAAACTAACCTAATTATACTTTGACTTAGTTTGGTCATAGTCTTTATATTGAAAAGTTGATCATAAACATACTCTCCGATCAAATCAAGAAAGTTGTTGAAGTAAATAAATTATGACGTAAAAAGTAAAACGATTGATGAATTTAATTATTCTATATAAGTTTGTAAAACTGGAGTCAGTATCATGAATGTTACCAGAACTTTTGGAAATAATAAATTTTATGCTCTCCAGGGGTCAAATTAAAAGGAATGAAATGAAATCATGCCTTTATATCACAAGCAATCACCTACAATACTTGTTGTCTAATAAAGCACACATGTATTTACATCACATCCACAAACTGTTATCATCTGAACTCAACTAAATATTAATTTATATATCACCCTGGAATATTATTTTACATTCCAATTTAAAAAAAACTTTAAAGAATTGTCTTCTACTGTCCGCTGTTACACCCAGCATATATTCTCATCTAACGGTTTTTAAGAGTTATCAATATTATAGCTAGGTTTAGTCTAGCTTAATATATATTTATTATTAGCAATTAGAAAATTAGGAAAGATGTATAATTTGGTGCCTCATTTATGAAAGAATAGAGAGTAATACGAAACGAAAAACTGTAAACGCACAAAAACCACAAACAACAAAGAGAAAGAATAAATACGTACGATTTTATCTTGATTTACCCAATTAACAGGATACGTCCAGCAGAGTCAATATTATTGTGATATTGCCTCACCACTCTCGTTTACAATGAATGTAATTTGCCCTATAATTTGATATCACACTCATACAAAAGAAAATTCTGTTTATATAAAGTTAAAAGCACGTTGGTATAGCACTGAGAAGAATTCAACCTAGGTCGCTAGACCTTTAGGGGACGATCACCTCAGGTCACCTGTGCAATTCTCAAAGATCCACATCGCGACTTCCACTTAGTTCGCTGGTCGAGTTAGACCGTGAACTTTATGTTATTTTAGCAGTTCTCCACTCACAGTTTGAACAAGCGTTCCTCGGGACAAGTCAAATCATGATATAATCATAAAGTTCTCAAGGTTCAAACCTTGAACGTTAAGAATTGGAAGGCTTCTGTTATGCTTAAGAAATCAGGGCAGACGCAAGTTTACATTAGCAAGAACCAATCAGAGTTCAGGAAGGCTTTGGGCAGCCCAGGCACTGCTATGTCGTCCAAGGATGGAAGGAGTAAAGCTGTCATCAACTTGGCAAGTAGACCTGGCAAAACGGGCGGGTGGGCCGGATGCAGGTCTCACGGGTACAGGCCCAAAACTGGTCAATTTAAACGAGTCCAATATTTTGGACCCCACCCTACCATATGCGGGTACAGGTGGACCTGCGGGTGCACGTACTGTGCACTCCAGTTTTAGATTTTTGTAGTTACACCCCCAAATCTTCCTAAAATCTTGATTCTTGAGCAAAATTTGTCTTTCTCAAGTCCAAACAAAAATGCTCTTATACCCAATACAGTTTTAGTTCAGAAAAAACATATCCAAATTTCTATAATCATTCAAATTATCGTCAGAACGAATAAGAAGAATTAGATTAAACCAAATAAAAATCTCTAATCCTCAATTTCAGATCTAAATTGAATCCTTTAACATAAAAGAAAATAACTGAAATTTTAAATAATTAATTTTGATGAACTCGGCTAACACAAGATTTAGATAAATCAATATAATCTCTTTTCTTTTTCCCCACAATTTAGAATCATTTTCCCTAGTTTTCTGAGCTGCCAATCACGAACCAAAACCATACACACAAACAAGCCCAATTAAAAAAAAAAAAAAAAAAGTCCCTTACATTATTTTCTCCCAAGTTTTCTCACCAACCAAACAGAAACCCAAAACCTAACAAAGAAAAAGATAAAAAACTTTACCGATTGTCCTCTCATTCCTCATCAACCAAATAAACCCACATAAAAAAATCTTAAAAAAAAAAAGAAAAAATTTACACAAGAAAAGCAACTGCAGCACAAGCTAGAAAGTATCTACTAAGTACAGGAAATGGAGACAAGACAAATTAAAAAAAACTTCTATATTTAGTTTGATTCATGTTACAGTGGTTTCCAAAAGAATACAAATGATTGACATATGTTATCTGCAGAACAATAAGAATAAAGCAAGAAGAGCAACCTTCAATGTTACTAGATTGTAGCTGAGGAGAAGCTGAAGACGTCGGAGAATCGACTCCAAGAATTGGAGCTGCTGAAGAGTGAAGAGTGAAGACGAAGGAGATGAGATCAAATTGGCGACGGTGATACAGATACCTTGATGTGCCGACAATGGACACTACAAACGTGGCTGATGAGAAGCGGAGACAGGAGAAGCGACGACGATGGAGTTAGGGATTTCGATGACGATGAGTTTGAGAGAAGGCTGCTGAGAGAGTGAGTTTGAGTTAGGTTAGGGATTTTGCGATTTGGGGCAAAATGAAAAGAGGAAAGGGTTTTTTTTTTTTTTTTTTTTAAAAAAAAACAAATAGGCACCCGCGGGTGTACTCGCTTAACCCGTTGGCAAAACGGGCCCGGCCGAGTAGGGGTCGAAGAAAAACGAGTCCAATATTAAAGACCCATACCCTATATTTTTTACTCGGGTTTAGGGCCAACCCGCTGGGCCAGACCCGTTTTGCCAGGTCTATTGGCAGGTAAAGATTTGGTTTGTGAATGGCTGGGAGTCACCCACCTGCCCAAGCCCTTTGCGATTTAAGGATATCTCATGTACAATCAGCCAATGGGAAGCAGGATTAGAATTATACGGCACCTGCCTGCTTATAGATTTGTAATCATTACCCAGAAATCTCTTATTATAAATAGAGGGCTTTCCTCTCATTTTGGAGATTCGGATAACTAAAAGAACTGACTCTCCCTCTTTGTATTTCTACTCTCTAATCGCTATACGTGACCTGATTGTAATCTCTCATTTATAAAAAGGCAGTAGATGTAGGATTTGCTTTGAGCATCTGAACCACTTTAAAAATTATCTCCCATTTATTTACTTCTTTTCCTATTCACGTGTAATTTCTAAGTCAATTTAACACCTTACACATGCGAATAATTGGTGTCAAAAATCAAACATCAATAATAGAAAATAAAATAAAATAAATAAATAAATAAATATCTTACCACAGCATTGAAACTATATCTACTGAAATTTTTCCACTTCTCCAAGTCATAGGCAATCAAATGCTTACAACAAGCATACAACGTAAGCCCCTCATCATCATCACTCTGATCACCTTCCCCTTTCAACGCCCTCTTCTCACCAAACACAAAACCATCATCACCACCCTCACCGTCCCACTTCCCACTCTGAAAACTCTTGACATACTCAATAGCATAAGCAGAAACAAGCATAGGATCTAATTCCCCAGGACTCTCCTGTCCTCTCCCCCATCTGGGGTCCCCAAAAAGATTAATAGTTGGCGCCCAAAACGTCAGCCCAGCTTGGCTATAGTTGTACATGGCTCTAGCCTCAGTAGCTACAGCTGGTCCAATCTTGGACCAAAGGGTCTTATTAAAAGAACCTGCAGTGACAATAACTTGAGGGAAACTAGTGGCTAAAGGCATGGTTCCATTGAAGTTGATTCCAGGGCCATTGGTGGCAATTCCGTGGAGAGATTCAGACCACCATTCATAGGCAGGAATGCCAAGTCTCGGAATTGCAGAGGCATTGTCAGGGAGTTGTTGGATCTTTTCTTGAAGAGTGAGGAGAGATATTAAAGACTTGGCCCTGGTGGCTATCCTCAAAGAGGTGTTGCAAAATGGGTATTGGTTATACTGAGGAGAGTTGCGAGGGAACTGAGGAATTTCTGGGATTTGTAAGATTGATTTGGAGGCAGATATGAAGAAGAACAAAATGAGAAGGTGATTTGGAGACATGAATGGTTTGACTGAATAGTTTTGTCAGTTGGGATGTTTTGTTTTCAAAGTGAAGAAGATAAAGCAATGTGTTGTGTTTAAAACTTTAAATAATGGATTTTGATTCCGATGATCCAATTTCTTTGATTTGATAACAAATTTAATATGTTAATACTTAAATAAAATTACACATTCAAAGGATGGGAGGATTTGTTTGTTTTTACCATTTATATATAACATTTCTCCTACAATATATATGACAAAAATTAACTGAGTAAAAAAATTATTTTTAAATTAAAATCAACCAACCAATGTCTTAAGATTATTAATTTTTTTTTTTTTTTTTTTTTATCAATGGGATGTTGGTCTAGCTTGCGCGTAACTAATCATTTAAGGCATTGAAACTGTTGACCGAGAAAAAGCCCTAATAACTATTCTTATTAATGTTTGAGATGACTCAAACTTAAGAGTTTATAGAATCTCTTTTTGCTCTTTTATTATGAAGTCATCCGATGATGGTTTAAATTATTAAATATTTAATATTATGTGACACTAAAATCAATCAAGTTTCAAAGTGATAAAAACAAACACAAAACAAAGCCAACTTAATTGAAATGTTGAAACTAAAAGAAATTAAGAGTGGTGAGGGGAGTTGGAACAAAACATATGTCACCAACACTCATTAATTGTTATATCACTCTTGAAAATCCAATTTCCATCTTCATAAATTAATAAATCAAAATCTCCAATCTTCATGAAGTTGGGCCCTAATTATGAAGCTCAATAAGCGTGACCCCACTAATCAACTGAGCCTGGCCTCCTTTCCAACTGAAAACTTGAAGACTTCAATTTAGGAAACTTATTTTGATGCTTATCTCACCCGGATTCAGTCGTTTACTTGATAATATAGCATATGAGTTAAGATCTAAGTAGAATAAGATTAATTTTACGCATGAATTCTAAAACACGAAGATTAAACGCAGCTAATTAGACAAACCTTAGGCCAAAATTGGCACTCTAAATTTAATTTAAGAGATAAGAAATGATACAAAATGTGAATGATTATGGTTGGATGGGTGTTGAAGAAGAAGAGGATTCAATGAAATCATGCTCTTCATCGTCTATGGTTTGTCTGCTTACTGCTGACTCGACCTCCGGGAATCGTTCCTACAGTTTCTAACCTTGCAGAATCTAAGCCCCACATTAGTGCAGTTTCAAGCTAAATATCAAACCACCCTTTAAAAAAAGTTTGCCGTATTGAAAGGAAGAATAACACTTTCCACCCGTCAAGTTTCAAAATGACACTTTCTCATCATTCGTTTGGTTCGATTAATGTTTTTTATTAATATTTAACTGAAACGACAAAAATACCTTTAAATAGTTTATTATAAATTAAAATTTAGTTAAATCAAAGTAATTATTTATTAGTTCAAGTGTAAACATGTTTTTTTTCCTTTGTTTATTTATTTAATTAGGAATATTGATTTTCTATGTTAATTAGTAAAAATGAAAAACATTACAAATTTAGTAGATTATTGAATACTAGTTATAAGCTATTGATGACATTATAAATAAATAAATATTAAGGTCATTTAACTTTAAACAATTTTATAGCATTACTCTTAACTTTTTAGCTGGGGTTAATTATTTTTTCTTTTTTGACTTTTTAATATTTGACTTTTTGGTTAATTAAAAAATAATAAAAAATTTATAAAGTCAAATATTTAAGGATATTTTATCTTTCTAGTAAAATATTAACAAAAAACATAATAGAATTTAACGATGGGTGAAAAAGTGTCATTTTGAAACTTGAAGGGTGGAAAAGTGTTGTTCTCCCTATATGAAAATAGAAGTCACCCCTTATCGATGATGCATCAAACGACGTGAAGAATAAAGTTTGGCAAGATTCTGTGAGAACAAATAATTAAATATGACCAAGTCTTGATCTCAATTCTTTGATGAAGAAAATATTGTAGCTAAACCCATTAACCCAGAACTGATCCAAGAAGCCCAAAATTAAAAAACCAATGCTCAATTTTCGATAAAGAAAAGGGAATTTCACTTTCGGCTTTGTAGGACACAATGAAACAATCATTTAGGAAGCCATAAGGACCATGCATGCATGCCACATAACTTAATTTAACTTGTAGGAGTTGAAGAGATCAGCCATCCCGAGCCACTTAAAAATTTATAACCTTCTTCTTCTGCTAATATTTGTGGTAATATTTTCAGTCACCATATATAGCTGGCCTGTGTGTGGGCCTGTGGCAGTGACGATTAATGATTTTTGGCAACTAGAAACTTTTGGGAGACAGTTTGAACAATTATTTTTCAACATCTTTTTCCTTTACCTTTTGATGATATTTAAAATTTAATAATAATAATTAAAAGTGTTAAGCAGCAAGACCCCATGCCACCGCCTCGCCCACTCTTCACATGACGATTGTTGGTAAATTTTAGGGATTCAACTCTGAAACCAGAAATAGTACTCTCAAAACCTTTTTTAATTTGCGTTATCCTTCACAGAATTAATTACTAATTCAAAGTTATATATCAGTAAATTAAATCATGAAGGAAATTGGCACAGAATCAGACTAAACTTATATTAATGTAATAATTAGAATTGGGGTATTGTTGATGATTTTGACATGGAAGTTTCAGCAAGAATTGACAAAAAGTATTTATATCAGCAGTATAAAGAGTTTTGGCAGTTTGCATGAGCTTTTAGGGTTTCGATTGTTGCTTGGTGGCTATAACTCTAGGAAATTCTCAACCACAAGAGAGAAGGTGGTTAGATATAAATTTAATTTAGTTATTCATGAGGTGAGTGGAAGTCTTCTCTTTGTTAATAAGATATGTTAGATAAGGGAGTAAAGAACAAATTGAAAAGGTGGATAGACAAGTATAAAAACAAACTTACAGTCGGGGTTTTTGCAGACATAGTAATGTGTTTCATGAGTACTGCCATTGAAATTTTTATTCTTTTATTTTTTTCTCTAGAGCTGGCCTTTGAAATAACTGTTCAAGCATAACATAAAAACAATTCTGGACACTATTGTTACGAAAATTCGCAACAACTAAAGATACCCAGTCGACCTTCAATAGGACTAAGTAGGATGTGTGCGTATTTAAAAATAATCAGTTTAGAATGAGTTAAGAAACGATAATGGGATGATAGGAAACGATTTTTAAAGTGGTTTAGCAAGTATGAATCAAGTCTACATCCATTGCTATATTATTGATTTGTATTTGCTTTACTTATAGAGGGATTAAAAAGGAAAACACGTAAAAGCGAAGTTAAGCTCTCCCTAAGTGTGTTTCTTGCTCTATATGTGAATCAACACCCCCCACCCAAAATAAGATGGAGCCTCCCTTTTATACACCCACTGATAGTGATTGGAAGTAGTTGTTACATGCTAGATTATACGCATAAGAGCAATGCTAGTTTTACAAAGACACATACAAAGGGGGCATACAAAGATAATCCCCACCCTTGATTTTTATGATTTCTCTCTCTCTCTCTGTTTTTCTATTTTTCCTTTGTTTTTTTTCTTCTTACTGATGTCACTTTGTATGAGTCTTTGTAAGGATAACATTTTTCATACGCATAATCCCCCCGTACTTAAGTCTGGATGCCCATACTTAATAATGATGGACTTGTTAAGGAAGTTATTTGTTGTGGGAATGACACGTGAGACAGGCTCAACCATTAGATCCTAGTTTTAAGTGAAGACATATGGCACGAAGCTGGTCGTCGAAAAAGCCATGCGCAACCGACAATCTTTAATTATATCTGTGGGCATATTGCCAGGCCTGCGGTGGAGAAACAGTTTCAATGTCCAAATTCCAATTATGAAACCCATGGAAAAAAAAAAATCTACATCAAACTTAGGCACAAAGAACAAATTTAAACAACGATTTGATTAGAGTATACTATTACATTATTGATAAGGTCGATCGCAATATTATAGATAAAGGTGAAAAAAATAGTAGTTAATTTAACAGTTGACTTGTAAATGGTACTTTAATATGGTATAAAAACTCATACTTTGACCTTTTGGGGGGGCATGTACTATGATCCAGCTTTGATTAGAACGTTAATGAGTCGATGCCCCACAAGATTTCATCAAAATTCTTCTCATCATTACTAAGCATATATGCATGTTGGATTCATTCTTGCTCTTTCGAGAATTTCATAATAATTGTTCCCACTCCATCGTCCTACACAATATTAGGGTTTCTTCGTTCCCGCACTTCGAATATTTTTTAGATCAATTTTAAAGTATACATGGATAACCTAAAATTAAGGCATCGAGTTGAGATCGAAGCATAACAGATGCTCAGAATGCTTAATTAGGCTAATTAATTAGTTAGTCGACTAATCATCATCTACAAGTGCAAGCTGGCTAGATTTCATAATAATTGCAATTTTCTCACTGCCCCAAAACTCTTTCTACACCCTGAAACATGGAAATATAACCGTAGTAATATTTAAGCTAACGTTCTACTCATGCATGAACCATTCTCACCAATCAATAATACGCACTTACAATTGATTAGGAATTAAATATTAATGGATTTTTTCTCTTAATAAAGGAGGGAAGAGAAAACTGAAAAGCTCGATCCTATAGTATAACTCATAGTTTGTAGATAGACGTACCCCAAGGAATTTCCAATGATCAAAAGAAAGAAAAAAGGAAAAGCTGAAGGAATATCATCAAATCCTGCCAGGTCCTATCGTTATAGTCAATCAACAGCAAACTCAGATCCTGGCCACATTGCCACATTTTCCATGCATTCATAAGTATGATTCTTATACCGCCTCTCAAATCACAAAAGAAAACTGAATCCTTTCAATTTTCAATTGTGTTATGATGATACAAGAATCTCTGCCGAAGCTCTACCTGTTTAATGCAATAAATAAATCAGGTTCCTGAATATCCATCGAACTAATCTCAAATTTTGATGGCAATCTACTTTATAACCAATATAAATTATGTGAAATTACGGTGGAAATTGAG